AAGTGCATTAATGAGCATGATCCATCCATATGCATTAATTGTGCATTGAGAAAGAACTGGAGAAAAAGTTGAGAAAGAGTAGTGAATTACTCTAAAAGTTAAGCTACATTATGATGAGTAGCTAGAGAAAGAGTAGAGACCTTGTGCACAAGCTATCCTAAGAGTTAAAGAAGAGAATAGAGTAAGTTGTGCGATGGGGAACCCGTGAGTGATGAGTAGAGTCACGAGAGTGGGTGCTTTGTGATCCCCAGCCGTGCCTCCAGTCAGAAGAGGCCATGACCGTCACGAAGAGTGGAACGTGAGGTTCCAGCCATGCCACTGGTGCAGAAGTGGTCGTGACATTCAAAGCGAGAGAGAGAATACATTCACATGGCCAACAGTTCCGAATCCATACATGACCAAATCCGATCGGTACAGAAATGATTAGAAGTCACGTAGAGTGGGAGAGTTCCTGGTCGTGCCTCCGATAAGATGAGGCCGTGACATTCCAATGAGTAGAATGAGAAAACAGAGAAATAGAAAGAACAGAAAGAGAAAATGAGTAAGTCACGAAGAGTGGGTGCTTTGTGATTCCCCAGCCATGCCTCCGGTCAGAAGAGGTCGTGACATATATCAGAGAACTTATAGAGAAGAGTATGAGAAATAGAAACAGAAAGAAAACAAAAATGAGAAAAGGTCACGAGTAGTGGGAGCTTTGTGATCTTCCGACCGTGCCTCCGGTAAGACGGGACCGTGACATACGAGTGAGTAAAAGTCACGCAGAGCGGGCTTGAGTTCCCAGCCGTGCCTCCAGTGAGATGAGGCCGTGACATTCAAATGAGAAAGAACAGAGAGAGAAAAGTATAAGTCACGAAGAGTGGAGTGAGTTCCAACCGTGCCTCCGGTAAGATGGGGCCGTGACATTTAAGAAACAGTTAATAGAAAAAGAGTTGTGTGGAAGAGAAACAGAGAGAACAAGAGAGTATTGTAAGGAAAAAGAATTAAGAGAAAGAGTTACAAGGATAGATTAGTAGAGGATTTACTTACTGAGCCTTTTTGTGCTCACCCTGTCATTTTTTCTTTGTGGTTGTAGGTTCTAAGTGAGGATGCAGTCGAATGGGCGTCAGCAAGCGAAGAGAAATAGTTACACTGTCCACCCTGTTTTTGAGAGCTTTTGTATATATAAAACTTTATATTTGTGTAAAGTATATGTATATTTAATAAAAGAAAAATTTGGGCCCATCTATTTATGGTATAATACATGTATTTTATTATATGTATTTTCTGAGTATAGGAGTAAAAGTAGCTGTTACATATAACAATAAATTCCACAATCAATAATAAAAGAAGTATGCTCTTCATCGGGCTAATACATTAGGATTTGGTTATATCTCGAGTATGCATCCATGAAGCTGAGTAATGCGTTATCTGCTGTCGCATCTACTAGCTGGTCAATCCATGGTAGCGGAAAGTTGTCTTTCAGATAGGCTTTGTTCATATCCGTGAAGTCGACGTAAGTCCACCACTTACCATTCGACTTCTTGACTAGGACTGGGTTGGCGAGCCAATCTGAGTACTTGACTTCCCTGATAAAGTTGATTTTCAGGAGTTTGTCAACTTTATCCTTGAGCACTTAAGAGTGCTCTGCATCTATAACCCTTCTTTTTTGCCTTATGGGTCGAGCTTGAGGATCGAGGTTCAACCTGTGCCACATTACCTTGGGGCTGATCCCAACCATATCCAAGTGCACTCACGCGAACACATCGAGGTTCTTTTTTAGAAACCCACCAGATTATCGACCATTTCTCTGGTCAAGCTGCTACCGATTTTCAGCACACGAGTTGGATCTTCCTCGCTAACATTTATTTCTCGCAGCTTTTTGGTCAACCCTACTGCTGGCTCTTGTCTGTGGTCTGAGCTTCGGCTTGGATTCCACGATGACCATTGTCCTCGGGTGTGGCCATTTTTATGCAGCATTGATAACTCAGTTATAACATTCCCGAGATTCCTTGGTGTAGCTCTTAATCGTCGTGACTCTTTCGGAAGTCGAAAATCTCATTGTTTGGCAGCACACCGATGTGACTGCACTAAAATCATCCAAGATTGGCCTCCCGAGTATAACGTTGTACGTGGTCGGGCAGTCTACCACTAAGAATTCGGTCATCATTGTTTTGACCTTCGGTTCTACCCTCAAGGTTACGAGTAGGTCGATTGTGCCCTTGGGAACCAGGCTTTTCCCAGTAAACCCATAGAGCAGCGAAAGGCACGCTCTCAAGTCTATTTCTGTAAACCTCATTCCTCGAAAAGCTCCTAAGAAAATGATGTTGGTCGCACTCCCATTATCGACCATCACCTTTAAGACCCTGGCGTTGCCGATTCTAGCCGTGATTACGATTGTGTCATGATTGTGGCAAGGGGATGCCTCGCACTCGTCGACTGTGAACCCTACTACCTCGCTTTCTTGTTTGGGCAGCTTCTGCTCGCAGCTCATTATCTGGGGAACCAAGTCCGTTCTGGCTTTCAGGGCATATTGCTCGCGAGCACGTCTCGAGCTCCCTGCTATATCGGGTCCTCCATATATCATATTCACGAAGACCTTGTTGGGTTTTGGCGGAGCGGAGCTTGTTGTGCTGAGTTCTAAGCCTGACTTGCGGCCTGGTTACTTTGCTCGCCAGGATTTTTGCGAGCTAGTTCCGCCTTAACGAAATCTTTCAGATGACCTCTTCTTATTTGGTCTTTGATGGCGTCTTTTAGAGCTTAGCACTTATTTGTGTTGTGCCAGATGTCCCTGTGGTATCGGCAATACTTCTTTCGGTCTTTTTTGCCCGGAGCCCTCCTTATCCTTTTTGGAGCGAGCAATCTCTTTGCCTCTTGGGACACTTTGTACATATGGGCGACATCTTGAGTGAGGGGGGTATATTCTACATGCCGCAAGAAAGACTGTCTGTCCCCGTGGTTATCTGTTATTTGTTTCTTCTGGAACTTGTTGCAATCCCTGTCATTGCGGTCTTGGCCTCCACGCTTATTCGAGGAGCGATCTTGTCGCCTATCTGGGGCCCCTTTGGTCACCAGTGCTACTAACGAGTTTTCTACCCGCTAGTATTTTGTAGCCATCTGGTAGAATTTGGCTAGGCTTACATGATCTTCACTATGGAGCTCTTTCCACAGCTCCGTGTTCGGCTTGATCCCTGCGATTAGCAAAGTTCGGATGGATTCCTCGAGGGCATCAGTGACCTTTACCTGCTCATTCTAGAACCTCTTTAGGTACGAGGTCAGTGTTTCGTCTCTTTCTTGACGGATGCTGTTCAAGTAGCTGAGCGGCATTGCAAACTACCTCCTCGCTTGAAATTGTTGTAGGTACAACGAGGAGAATTATTGCCAGGAGTTGATGGAGTTCGCCTTGAGCCTCTTGTACCACCTTTTGGCATCTCCGACCAACGTGACCACAAAGCATTGGCATTTTGCTAAGTCACAGACCTGATGCAGCTCTATCAGGTCATTGAAATTGTCGAGGTGGTCTCTAGGGTCCCCTCTTCCATCAAACTTGCTTTCTAGCGCCTTGAATCCTTATAGAAGCGGGGCCTAGTGAACCTCCTCTGTGAAAGGGGAGCTTACTACCTCTTCTGTCAGTTTGTTCTGGCAAGTTGTCAGATCGTCAAACATTTTTTGCACACGATCTAAGTCTTCGTTGTGGTTGCCCTGGCTAGCTTTGTTAAGCCTTACCTCGAGCAAATGAGTTCTCAAGTCTATCGCTTGCAAAGCTCCTCCAGTGGGCGCGTTGATGCGCAAGGTTGAGTCATGATGGCTAGGTTGATAAGTGTTATCATGCTCGTCAGTACGTTGCTCACAACGTTAGTCATAACCGAAACGTCGGTAGTTGCCAGATTGACGCACATGGCTCATTTTGCTAGCTTGCGAAGATCGATCTTGACTTGGGCGTGCATTAACACTGGCACGCTGATGTTGGGGACAAAATTTATGTAAACTAATATGACATTATAGCTACATGTTAATACTAAATAAAAAATGTACATATTTAAGAGAGATTATCAATCAAGGTACAACTATTTTATGAAATGATACAAAAGGGACACAAGTTTTATTTTGTTCAATGTAGGGACATTAAATTAAACAACTAATAGCAAACAAGGATAAATAGACAATTATGCATTATATATAAAAAAGAGCAAAATAGACTCAACTAAATAATCTTATCCAGTAAAATGCTGACACATGTCCTACAAAATTTAAGAAGAAAATTCTAATTACAGAATTAAAATCATTATTTAAAAAACATAAAAATAGAAAACAAAATTAAGAAAAAGAATCAGGCCAGCGGAGCAGCCAGCCTTAGGAAAAGCCTTTTGCTTTGCTCTTTTTATTTATTTTGATTTCAATGTTTTTAATTTTCATAAATATAAAAACAAAAATGTTGTCCTTTCTCTTCTTTTGGTATATATAATTTTTTAATTCTAAATTAGGTTTTATATTGTTTATTTAAATTGTTTTTATTGTTTTTTGTTCCTATTTTATTATAATTTTTAGTATTTAAACTGAAATCAAACAAATTTTCTTAATCTAAATTTGTTTTCAATCTTTTATATTTTTTTCAATTTTTTAAATTTAAAATTCAAAGATTAAAACCAAATAAATGATTAGGGATATTTAAGTCTTTTTTTTTTTTTTTTTTTTTTTGTTAAAATTTAACGGCAAAGTAAAGTTAAATGACCTTAAATTGAACAAGTTGAAACTTGTGTCCTTCGTAGTATTTCACGAAAATATTATAACTAAATTGATAATATCCCTATATTCAAAACAGTGAAGGTGTAATTGGCAGTGGAATGTAAAAACATTATATAAATTCTCATAGTTTTGCCCACAAAGTGGAAGTCTAGAAAATATGGGCACTTGCCATTGTGAATACCGTTTTTCAAGTCAACTAAATTACTAAATACGAAATTTCAAAGTCATCCTGTTAACTTTTTTCTACAATCTTACAAGTGATTTACTGGCCTACTTCTTCTTCCATATTTCTGGCTAAAACAGCCCAATTAAACGTGGTCCAACCATTCTTCATATTTGCCATCATAATGAGTTCCCAGCGTTCGCTGTGGTCACCTCTTCTTTCTCTGGTATGTTTCGTACTTGTGGTTCCTGTTAAGATTCAGTCATTAAGCTACTCTGAAGGGTACCGAGTTTGTAATCTTCCCTTCAGATGTGGAAATGTTACAGTCGGTTATCCATTCTGGGGAGTTGACCGACCGAGTGATTGTGGCCATCCTGACCTGCAACTCTATTGTGAGAATGATATGCCTATGATGACGATGAATGACTTGTTCTACCTTGTTTTGAATGTGGATGAAAAAGCCCAGATTCTCAGGATTGCAAGAGAAGATTACCTCGATGGAATCTGTCCACGTCGATTTGGTAACACCACCCTCTCTTCCGTGTTCAATTATACTAATGAGTATGAGATACGTACCGTACTTTACGCTTGCCCGCTATCTGCTTCTCTTTCTGGACATTTCACTTGCTCTTTTACTGGTACGGACAAGAAGGATGGCTATATAGAAGCGGGAGCTAATGGTGCTGGGGCATGCGATGTTGGCGTCATTGTTCCTTTTCCTAAATCCTTGGTTCTACAAGGAAAAGAGAATAAATCGGTTTTGAAACAAGCCCTACAAGACGGATTTGAGATCAAATGGAATATAAGTTACGCGGAATGTGGGAAATGCATTGAATCTCAGGGAAGTTGTGGATTTAAGATCAATGAAACAATTTGTTACTGCCGAAATGGACAATTGAACTCCTCGGCGGCATGCGACATCTCACTGTCCAACCAAGGCTCAAAACAGTCTCCGGGTCCGGGTACGTACCTCAATTTGTCGGTAGAAATTAAAGATCTATATGCCGCTGAGTCAATCCGTTTAATTTTATTTATTTAATCATTTTCACACAAATTTTACTCAAAGTAACTATTCTAGCTGTTTTAGACTTTATATTTTAGATTTTTATTTTATCTTTTTTAGTTTTTCTCAGTTGCTACTCAACACAAAGTCTTCTTATAATTTGGTTATGCTGCAGGAGTATCTTCAAATGACCATAATAAATCAGTCTTCAACAAACCAAGGAAGATTGCCATAGGTAATATGTTGATTAGACAACTTGGTTTACTTTTCCACTGAATACCTACCATGAGTCAACAGTTACTTCTGCTATGATCCGTGATTGCTAAGAGTAATTCAGATATTTTCATTTTTAATCTCATAATTGTCTTGCCCCCTTAATTTGTTTTTGTTACAGGAATTACAGCTAGTGTTGTGGGGATTATAATTGTCATCTCAATGGTTGGCCTGGGACGATTCTGGAAGAAGAAAACAGAGGATGATCAAAGAATGGAGGCGTTTATTAGAAATTGCGGATCGCATGCTCCACAAAGATATAATTATTCTGATATTAGAAACGTTACAAAATCATTCAGCGAAAAACTTGGTCGAGGAGGCTATGGTGATGTTTACAAAGGAAAACTACCTGACGGTCGTCTTGTGGCAGTGAAGATCTTGAAGGAATCTAAGGGCAATGGAGAGGAATTCATCAATGAAGTGACTAGCATCAGTAGAACATCCCATGTCAATATAGTCAGTCTTCTAGGTTACTGCTGTGAGAGGAACAAAAGAGCTCTAATCTATGAATTCATGTGCAATGGATCTTTGGATAAGTTTATATATACTCAAGAATCTTCGAGTACAAATTGCAATTTGGAGTGGAACACACTTTATCAAATCGTAGTCGGCATTGCAAGAGGACTAGAATATTTACACAGAGGTTGTAACACAAGAATAGTACATTTTGACATAAAACCTCACAACATTCTTTTAGACAAAGACTTTTACCCAAAAATATCTGACTTTGGGCTTGCAAAACAATCCAACCAGAAAGAGAGTATCATATCAATGTTGAACGCAAGAGGAACTGTAGGATATATTGCACCAGAAGTGATTTGTAGAAACTTTGGAGGAGTCTCTCACAAGTCTGATGTCTATAGTTACGGAATGATGATTCTAGAAATAGTTGGAGCAAGAAAGAACATTAATGTTGGGATATCTCAGACAAGTGAAGTATATTTTCCAGATGCTATTTATAACCTTCTTGAACCGAGCAATGATTTTAAACTTCCAGGTGTTGTCACTGAAGAGGAAAAAGAGACGGCGAAAAAGATGATATTAGTGAGCTTGTGGTGCATTCAAACCAATCCATCTGATAGACCATCAATCACAAAAGTTGTCGAGATGTTGGAAGGTAGGCCAGAAAACTTGCAAGTTCCACCAAAACCTTATTGGTCTTCTCCGCCAGGATCCTTTAAACATTCTTTCCCGGCATCTTCATCAACACAACTTGCATCAGAGGAAGAACCGTTCAAAGATCTGGGTGATATGTAAACTGTAATAAAATTTGGCAAAATTTAGATTTGCCTTGATTTGTGCTCAAGGACCAGGACATTAGTTTTCCTTTATTCGTAACGCCAGATTTTTTTTCTTTTACGTAGTGAATGTACGGATGCAGTGGATACTGAACATTTACCTGAAGGGTACAATTTTACATGACCATTCAATCTTAAGAACGCAAAAGCTTCAATCCTTAACTAAGATTAAAATTTTAGTATTTGCTTGCAGTTCCAAATATGACAGCCTGGGGAGAATAAAATGAGGGCAGATGGCTGGGACGATTTAAGTGCTCTATTAATTTTTGTTCATAGCAAATGTAGACCAAACAAAAAGCAATGTTCATAGCAGTCTGTAATGAATTCTGAATGTAATTTAGTGAAGGAATGAACAAATGTTNCATGGTTTTCTCCGAAATGAATCGCCAAACAAAAACAGAAACTTTCATCACTTATGACAGAGAGAGGTCATGAAATGCTGCCTAGGACAGATTAGTAGTTTAAATGCATATCAGAACTTGCTCAGCTTATGAAGGATTCTTCCTCTGATGAGTTGTGTTGCTGATGATGTTGGGGAAGAATGTTTAGGTGCTCTTGTTGGAGAAGAGAAAGAGGGTTTTGGTGGAAATTGCAAAATTTCTAGGCCACCTTCCAACATGTCCATAACCTTACTCGTTGATGGCCTATCAGTGGATTGGTTTGAATGAATGAATGCACCACAAGCTCACTAAGTTCTTTTTCGCCATTTATTGTTCCTCTTCAGTGACAACCTCTTCAAGATTAAGATAAATGCCAGACTCCATATGCTTATAAATTGAATCTGGAAAATATATTTCACTGGTGTGAGACACTATAACATCAATGTTTTTCCTTCCTCCAACCATTCCAAGAATCATCATGCCATAACTGTAGACATCAGATTTGTGAGAGACTACTCACAAAGCTTTGACTAAATACTTCAAGTGCAATATACCCTGCAGTTTCTCTAGCATACAACTTTGAAATGATACTCTCTTTCTTTTTTCGATTGTTTAGAAAGCCCAAAATCAAATATCTTAGGGCGGAAATCTTCATTCAAAAGAAGGCTACGAGGTTTTATGTCAAAATGCAGAGTCCGTATAGTACAACCACAACCACAACCACAATTTGATGCATGATTCTCCATTCTAATTTGCAGTTGATACTTGAATGTTCTTGATCATTTATAAACTTATCCAATGATCCATTAGGCATGAATTCATATATTAGAGCCCTTTTCTTCCTCTCACAACAAAATCCTAGAAAGGTGACTATATTAACATGGGATGTTCTACAAATGCTTGCAACCGCATTGACAAATCCCTCTCCGTTACCTCTGGATTCCTTCAAGACCTTCACAGCCACAAGACAAGACGACCATCAGGTAGCTTTCTTTTATAAACATTACCGCAGCCTCCTTGACCAAGTTTATTGCTGAATGATTTTGTCATCATTTTAACATCAGAATAGTTATATCTATGTGGAGCAAGAGATCCGAAATTTCTAACAAAGGCCTCAACATTTTGATGCTTCTCTGTTTTCTTCTTTTGGAAGCCCAGAACCTTATCAAACATTTGTTCACGTCGGAGGCAACTTTTAAGAAGAAGGGAGAGGATTATTACTATCCCTACCACACTAGCTGCAATTCCTGTGATGGTAATACAAAATCCAATGCGGTAAGAATGATTATGTGTGCAGTTTCTATTTCAACACTAACCATGCAAAAATATTAGCTGATAAAAAATGTGGCAGCCAATAAAAGATAGACAAGTTGTCAAGTGACTTTAGTACCTATGACAATGTTCCTTCTTTTGTTGGAAAATGATCCTGCGCAAAACCTTCAAAATGTCAAAATTAATTCTTTGAGTTTGATCATAAAATTGACCTGAATTTTAAGTTTAAAAGTCTTAAATGAAGTAGATTAGAAATGATGAATTATATTTCAAATATTGAAGTTTAAAATAATTGCGCAGTTCTTTATAATATCTACCACTTAATTTGTTTTTATTTTTATTTTAAATTTTTAGTAATTAGCACTGCCCTGAAGCAATGTTCTTTCTCAAAATTTAACTCTAATTCAACTAGCTAGGGTGACCTGACATACTTAGACTGCAGTGGCCTGACACTGCCAACATTATTAAAATCAATCAAAATTATGATTTATATCCGTTGTTGAACTGTTATTGTGTAAGTAATCATACTATAAGCAAGGGCAAACTTATGACGTGAAGAACTGCTAGATTTTATGTCAAAATGTACAATCTTTACGTTACAACCTCTTTGTAAATACTCCAAGCCTTTAGCAATACGACCAGCAATTTGATACATGATTTTCCATTCCAACTTGCGGTTTGGTTATATATAAACTTATCCAGTGATCCATTGGGTATAAATCCATAAATTAGTGCTCTTTTCTTCTTCTCATAAGAAAAACCTAGAAAAGTGACTATATTAACATGAGATGTTCTGCTAATGCTAGCGGCCTCATTGAAAAATTCTTCTCGTTACCTCTGGATTCCTTCAAAACATTCACAGCCACGAGACGACCATGAGGTAGCTTTCCTTGGTAAACGGTACCATAGCCTTCTTGACCAAGCTTATTGCTGATGATTTCGTCATCTTTTTAACATCAAAATAATTGTATCTCTGTGGAGCAAGAACAAAGGCCTCTATGGTTTGATTGTTCTCTGTTTTCTTCTTGTGGAAGCTCAGAACCTTATCAAAACATTTGTTTTCGTCGTAGGCCACTAATGAGAAGAATGGAAAAAGGCTATTACTATCCTTATCCCCAACACACTAGCTATAATGCCTGTATTAAAAGATATAATGGTAAAACATATATCAATGCAATTAAGAATGAATATGCTTATATGCGTGCAGTTTACTATCCTAACTCTAACCATGTAGAATTAGTTGCTGATAAAATGTTGCGGTCGATAAAAAATAGACAAGTTATTATGTGAATATATTACCTATACCGATGTAATTCTTTCTCTTCTTGAAAGATGATCCTGCACATAATCTTCAGAGTGTTAAAATTTCTTCCGGTTTTGTCATAAAATTAATCTGAATCTCAAGTTTAAAAGTCTGAAATGAAGTCGATTGAAAAATGAGGTATGATGTTTCAAATATTGAAGTTTAAAATCATTGCTCTGTTCATATAATAACTGCCAGTAAATTTGTGTTAGTTAAGATCTTTTTTTTTTTTTTAATTATTATTTTAAATCTCTAGTGATTAGCACTGCCTTGAAAATTGAGGTACTAACCTGTTGCATCTGGAAGACCCGTTTGGGCGTTGTCCGATAGGTGAGGTTGAACATGCTTCTTCAAAGCGGTGGACAGGTTGATTTGGGCACCAGCAGCTTGCTTTATCAACAGGCCATGTTTCATAACCACAAATTCCATTGGATTGAATGCAGTAACTATCACAGAATTCTATGCCGCTCAGGTTCCCTTAATTTCACCTCAAATCCTTGTTTCTGGGCTTCTTCCAAAGCTTACAGGCTTCGTTTTGCTGCTGAAAATGAATCTTCAAGAATGCTAACATTGACACTAAAACTACTGGGCAGACCTAAATCTCCTATTGTTATTGTGAAGCCATCCTTATCACGGGTGTCCTTTAAAGAGCAAATGATTTCTTCAGGATTTAGGAAACTATAAATTAACGTGAGAATCTTGTACCCAGAAGAAATGTTGAAAAGTTCAGACTCGATGGTGTTGTTAGGTAAACTAGGAATATCAGGTGGGCGGATTCTGTCCTTGTAGTTGTGCTTTCCTGCAATCTTCAGAGCTCGAGCTGTTTCATCGACATTTAAAACAATATAGTTCACTTCGTCGATCATTATGGTAGTCGTATCATTCTCACAACTGAGCCCGAAGTCAGGATGGCCACTGTTAGAAATCGGAGGAGTGTTGAAACAATACAAATTACAAAATAAAATTGCACTTATACAACTCGTTGGAATTGCAGCAGCAAAACAAATTGACAGACTTGTGTAAAAGAAGAGAAAACATTTATTTAACATAAACACTAACAATCTTCTTTATTTTTAGGAAGAGAAACAATCTCATATCTCTCATCTCTAATTCATATATTATTTAATCCCTCATAATTAAGTAAATAAAGGATTAGATTACATAGCTTACTTAACACTTAAATGACGTTTAAATATAACTAAACAATAACTAAAGAGAAGTTTAAATATAACTGAAATTAAATACCATTTGACAAAATCTAAAATAATGGATCCAGATTTAATCTTTGCGTTTCTTCCCGCTGTTCTTCTTCCGCCGCGGGCCAAATTTTCTCTTTGCCGCGGCATGCCACATTCTGGAAAAGTTTTATTCTCGTCTCAACTTCTTCACTGCACGTCTTTTCTTCAGCCACAACACTTTCATTACCAAAAAGTGTTCACATTCCAATGGCCACAAAGTTGATCTCGACTGCCTCCCCATAAAGGATAATAAGCTATGATGTTCCCGCCCATGAATCGATGACTACAAGCTTCTAACATATTAGGAAGGCTTAAAGATAACTGAATATAGACAAAAATCACGAATAGAAAACATAGAACACAAAGAAAAGACAACCAGGAGAAAAGCTGGAAACTCATTTCTGGTAAAAGTTGTGTCCCGAAAGAATGAATCATAAGTGAGTTGAATCTATTGGTTCTAAGAAATTATAGAAGAAACTAAGAGTTACATTCTATCTTTAGAAGATGATGTGAAAGAAGAAAAGAAGAATTAAGTCTCCTAACTATCTTTGACTACCTTAGCACAGCTGGAAGATTTTTAGATCATGTGGCAAATGAATTGGAAGCTGACTCAACCTCTATAACTAGGCATCACAGTTCACTATGGCAAAACAAATTTGGTTGGACGTGCGCAAAATACAACTGGTGAAAGGCCACCTAAGTAAGCTACCTGGTGCTACGAAATGTTCTCTAGAGTGACCTTTTTCTCGTACATATGTTACCCTCTTCATGGATAAAAATTCAGAATGTGCATTTTTTGTTTTTTTTTTTGTTTTTGTAAGAGTGGAAACTAAATTTACAGATTATCATTATTATTCTGTAAAATGCGATATAAATATTACATACCTCCGTTTAGACTTTAATTCCTACCATTAGTTTTCGTGTGATTCGCTCCTAAAA